AGCTGGAAAGGGCAGGACAGGGGTTGGATGGACAAGGTCGATTGGGGTGGGCAAGGGGGTAAGGCAGAGCGGTGGGGAACGACGGGGATTGGGGTGGGAAAGGGCTTTTGGGTAACGAAGGGGAAGGGCTTTTGGGTAACGACGGGGAAGGGTAACGGAGGCGTTAAAGGGTGGTATAAATGGACCCCAAAACTATAATTTTGTGTTTATTTGGTCTACTTAAAACGTTAGTGTCTAATCCGAGATTCGTTAAAAACCTTAGTGTCATTTTTGGTCTTTATCCCATAAAATAATAATAATATCAATAATAATTATAATAAATTAATAATAATAGCTATTATTATAATTATAATTATAATTATTTAATAATAATAATAATAAAATAATAATAAAAATAATAATGGTTTGGATCATGGAGCTATACTTCCCAATTAGTGGGGTCTGAATTTTTGTTTGTTGGTATTTGCAAATGTGATGTCCTAATTAGTGATTAGGGGGTTGGCTTTTTACCCATTCGGATTTCCAACTTCAGAATTGGAAGTGCCGTTTTAAAAAAATAATCAGCTCTCCATGCGGAATTGGAAGTTCCGAATCAAACTTTGCATTCATTCGGAATTGTGTATTCCGAATCCCGTGTTTTCGTACCCTAAAAGGAATTCCCGTGTTTTTGCATGCCTTGTTTAAAACCCCGTCTTTTTGTCATTCCCTCCTTTTTATATGTCCATTTCCCTCGAAAGACAGAGCAAAGGTAATATTATGTTCATTTTTTTATTTCCATTCCACAAAAAGCAAGGTCCTCCTATAAAAAATTAGACTCTAGCTTTCTGCATTATATGATTTGTCCAATTTGGTTGAAATGGTTTCATTGTGTGATTTACATGCGCATGAGCCTTCCTTGGCGGTTGGCATACATCCGCCCACAGCCCACTATATGGAACTCAAATTACTTTATACATGTAATGGTATTTGAGATGGTATTTACATTCAATCACTGATATTAGGCATCTACTGAACTATACTTATTTTACCGTTGCTATTTAATGCAACAAGTATCTTTACCCGCGGGTTAGAACAATTTTTCTTTGAATTTTACCAACGGAAAGTCACTTGTTTATTAGTCGATAATAACTATGCTTTATATTACATATTCTAATTTATTGAGTATGTCATATTTTGAACTAATTATCAAAACGTGTTTGCAATCTATATTTCCCAATGAAAAGAGCTTTTTGTATATCTCTATGTTTCATCCAAATGAAATTAATCTTTTTAACCAGTTATCTATTTAAAAAAAGAAAATGTTAAATGCATATTTTTTTCATTGAAATTCATTGAGGGGTTACATATTTTTCAAAAACTAACTACACATTTTTGTAATTTATTTATCTAAAAATGGGTGTAGCTAATTTGTTTTGAAGATATTAGCCCTTCTAGGTTTTAGAATTTTTCAAATTAGTCATTCAATTTCTTTTTTCAAGAAAAGTTTTTAGAATATATAGTTTTGTGACATTCCTATTTTAATCAAGGCGATGTCGATGACAACAGGTTGCATATTGTGATTGGTAGCGTTCTGTTTATTTTTTATTAGATTGAGTTATTGAAGATATATGATTTTATTAAGTAAAATAAATGTTATTGAGCTTATAGTATGGTCCAATGATAATTTATGGAATTTGAGATTTTAAATATATGGTGACATTATAAAAGTTGTACGCGTGCGGTTAAAAATGGGAAAATGAGTATCATAGGCTACGCAATTCTATCATAGCTCAACGTACAATCTCATTAAGATGTTGGTGGCTTGAAGTTATTAAACATATCTTACTTGTACTTTGAGTTGTTTGAGACATTGAATTATAGAGTTAAATAACCTCATTGCATATATTCATACATGAATAAAATTCATATTCATGATTTTGAAATGTCTTAGATTTTTTTCTCAATTAGATCGTAATCAAAGAATTAGTTATTGAGGTTATTTTAGTATCAAATTTGGTGACAAATAAAAATTTACTCATGAATATTTTTAAAATATAAATGGTTAACTTCATAATAAGTTAGTTTGGTTTTGTAAGCATGCCTCACTTCCACTTGTATTGCGATTAACTCCATAATAAGTTAATTAACTCCAAATTTTACTCATGAGATTTGTAGAATTCTAATGTAACACGTTGTTCTAAATTTCAAGGAGGACTTCATTAGAAATGTTTTTAGTGGACTATTTTTTGTCTGATTTGTCTATCCCCATCAAATCTGATATAATATGATTTGATCTGACCAGGTGAGGTCAAATTATATATTTGAGCATTTCATCTCTTTTTCTTAAACAAATTTACTTCCTTCGACTAATTATAGGTCAGATATATGCAACATTTCAAAATTCAGTTTGAGACAATATTCTTTAGTTCAGACAATAACTCTAAAAAATTCAAACATAAACCTCCACTTACAACCTGAAATCCCAAACATAGCCCTAACCTATGAGCCCTTCTGGCAACCCTTGTTTTCAGCTTATAAGTAACGTTTTACCAAACACGTAGTTTTGACTGAATCGACTGAGTTACATGCAATTTTTACTTAAATTTATTAACGAGGTACATTTTAAAATATATAATTCGGCCAATGCAACTACTTCAGTTAGAATTTCATAATTTCAATAGATTTTGTTCGATTAATCCAATTTCAGTTTTATCAAATAGGTCATATGTATCAAAATAGAGAACTCCTTTATGTGTCCCATGGAATGACTAAACCCATGTTAGTTAGACAATTTAATGTTTTTTAATTTTCTTTTATTAAAAGTGTTTTCTCATAACATTCTAGCAATCTCAAACATTTCTAAGAATCTAACATATTATTGGAAAGTTGTACTTGAGGAGTATTTTTTAACTTCTTAATGTTCTTTAAATTTCTCTTTGTTAAAAGTTCTTTTTGTTGGATATATTGTGCTTTACTTGATTCAGTTTACACCATTTTGACTTTCAAGATAAAATCATTGTTATTAATATAGAAATTCTCCTTAGTAAGAATAAAACATTTTGAAATTTCAAAAAAGAACATTCATGTTTTTATTTCCTAAATAGAGTAATTTCTGCCAAATTTGAAACAATTTGGCAGAAATTGACATGTCTAAAGTCTGAATAGGGAAAAAAACATGACAATCCTATTTTGGAATTTCAAAAGTTTTTTACTCATATTTAGAGAATTTTCCCTTATTAATATTAGTATATTTTGAAATTGAAAAAGAATAATAAAAACATATAGGTCTAAGCTATAAAATTCAGTCCAAATAAAAACATTTTTATTATCTTATGAGTATTACATCCAGAAATTAGAATGTTTCGGGAGATTTATTCTACTCTAATATGGAGTTCTAAAGATAGGGGACTCCTTGTTCTTAATTGAACAAAATTTTATGGTCGATGTCATCTGATTTGATTTCATCTTATCTAGTTAGGTCATATTATTTGTGCATTTTCAACTTTAATGGCCAAATATATTTACCTCATTCAAATAACAATTCAAATGCAACATTTCAGAATTCGGTTCCAGACAATAGTCTCAAGTTCAGACAATAATCACAATATTACTTATTTCAGATAGTAGCTTTCACCTACAACTCTAAATACGAAACATAACCCTAATCTCTATGAGCTTGTTTGGCAACCCTTGTTTTTAGCATATCCACAAATGTTTTTACCAATTGCGTAGTTTTGATTTCACACGCTAAATCGAGAAATAATCAAAATAATTTGGGTTGGACTAATTCTCTGGCTAAATTGACTGAAGTTATTATGAAACATTACTTTAGCTATTTCTCATGTATTTTTTCTTAAATTAATTAACAAAATATATTTCTAATATATTTTTTCAATGATTCGGCCAATGAATTGACATTCAGTCACTTCATCCATAATTTCATAAATGGACTCTAACCGCTCCATGTATCCGATGAATCATATTTTTAATATATAGTTTTTCAATGATTCGGCCAATGAATCATAATTGTAGCAGATTTATCCGATTCAGCTAATTTCAGTGTTATCAAATGGGCTCTAACCGCTCCATGTATTTAAATAGGAAATTTCTGTATGTGCCCCTCAAATTACAAAACCTAACACATGTAAGACAAATTTACCCTTTGTAATTTTCATTTACTAAAAGTGCTTCTCATCACATTCTAGCAGCCTTAAACATTTTTTAATTTCTAAAGTACGAATGGAAAGTTGTACATATTTTTTAATTTATTAATGTTCTTTAAATTTTAGCCTCTTTAGATTTTTTTTTTGCTTTCCAAAAAAAAAATATTCTTAACATATAAACCGAAATATTGTGTTCTTAATTTTGTTCGCATCATTTTGACTTGAAGATAAAATTATTGATATTATTATACTTTGAAATCCAAGAAAAGATATTGTGTATAAAAAATAAGATTTTAAAAGCCAAGTACGCTTCCAAAAAGGATGTCACATGTTCGAATTTCATCCAGATAAAGGATGTTGACCTTAACAGAACATATACTATAATAGGTTAGAAAACTTTGCCAAAAAAAGATTATTAAAATTGCAATGCTTGTTCTACATTTAGAATACATGTACCTTAAGTATATCAAGGCATTAGAATGTATAGAATGGTTTGGGAGATTTATTCAATCTGATATGGATTTCTAAATTTTACGGAGGACTCCTTTAAAAATGTTTTTAATTGAAAACTACGAGTTGATCTGATATAACATGGTGTTGTATGATAAATGCCTCATAGTAAAAACAAGACATTGCGAAACTTTTAAGAATATTTTTGAAGTGTTAAAAAAAGTTATCTTTATATATCCAATAATGATGTCATATGAAAGATAATAAAAAGTTATGATTTGTGATATTTTTTTGCAACAATTAAAATACAAATAAAAAAGTTATATCATTTTAAAAAACAAACGGTTTTTAAAGTGTTGAATTATTTTTTTAATTTTTTTATATTCCATATTGGTGTCATTTGAAAGATGATAAAAAGTTATGAATATTGATACAATACTTGTAAAAATCAGATTATAAATAAAAAAAGTTTTTTGTGCTCGAACAGGGCTTAATTCATAGAAATAGCATTCAGTAAGGGTACAAAAGCATAAAAGAATCACCCGTAATCATCCACCCATGGCCGAGACTGAGAGTTAACCACCTGTAAAAAAGCAGTATAACTCGCTAAACCAAAATTGGGCAACTTAAAAGCCAATGACGATTACACACACCTTTTATCCCCCAAACTTAATGCAAGATTCTTAGAGGTCATAAAGTTAGAGCAAAAAAACAGAACAAAACATCCAGGAAAAAAAGCAACCAAAATAAAAGCAAAGAAAGTAAACAATAAAGATAACACCATCACTTGGCTTCTTCTTCATCACCATTATCCGAAAACTCGGCGGGTCTAAGAAAATTGACCCGCCGCCTCCCCATTTTTTGGCCCATCCAGAGCCATTTCTTCACCAGCCGAGTCTCTGTTAGCCTGATTATCCCAAATTCTTTTGCGCTTTGTGTCTCCACGAATTTCTTCTTTGTCCTCTGTCTCGTTCTGTTATGGCATACTGGTCTTGGGTTCAGCCGAAAAATCTCCCCCAAGATCAGACTTCCGCTGAATTCCATATCCAACTGAGCTAGAAGCCTCACTAGATAACCACTTGTTAGGTCCTGTAGGGCTTGTCTTCACCCTTCCTCCTCCTACTCTAAGTCCCACCCCATAAGTTTTCACAACTACAAAACCCTCTTCATACTTCAATGGACAGAATTTATCTGAATGTCTGATTATACCACACATAAAACAAAAGCTGGGTAGTTTTTCATACTTAAAATCCACCCAATGCTTCACTCCATCTTTTGTGAGAGTGGTACCGCTTTTCAAAGGCTGACGAACATCCAGACACACCCTTATACGTAGATAAGAACTTTGCTTTCCACCAAACTGGTTCATCTCAAACTTAATAAAGGAGCCTACAAAATTACCAATTTTTCTAGCAGATCTCAAATTTCTAAACTTTATAGGGGCATTATGAACTTGTACCCAAAAGCTAGCCTCAAATAAATTCATCGATTCAAGTATGTCATCTGGCTGAACAGCTTTCAGCAGTATTAAATCATGCTCAAAAAGCCAAGGGCCATCCTCAATCACACGATTCATATCCAAAACATGATTAAAGTTTAGTAGATACCTTCTTTCGATGATCTCTTGATAGACATACCTTTCCCTGGCCTCCCAATTAAAGTCATCGATTCTTGGAAGGCCGGTAATTTGATCTTGCGGTCGGTGACGACTACTCCAACCACCGGAAAGCCCTTTGGTTCTATCTCCTCCTTGCCGCCCTCCTTCGCTTCCTCATCAAAATTAAGCTCGTTCTCATGTTCCTCCATTGACATCTTCTTGTACGAGTTGACTATATCTTCCATACAGCAAGATTCTTCGATCGAACCCTCTGCTCCTACCTAACGCCCGAACCAACCTCTGCTGCTCCTGAACTCGCTCTGCCTGCACCTTCTTCTCGGCTTTGAAGCTACCGATCTTCGTTAAAGAAACGATATCGGAAAAAGAACCCTAGCGGTCGAGCCCTAGGGAGATCCGAAGATTTAGAGAGAGACTCTCAAGCTCCAGTTTAACATTCAAACATTTAGAGAGAGACTCAGATTTAAAGAAACATTTCTCTTGTTAAATCGCAATTGATATGTTCTTTTGATGTTCAAAACTTTACAATTTATGCTAGTCCCACTACTTCCCTTTTCTCGAGATTTTACTTGTATAGTTGTTTGTTCTAGAATACATTTAGGTGTGTGGATCTTGTATTTTTTATTTAGATCATATAAGAAATGAAATAAAATAAAATAAGATCAGACTACTTTGGGTGTGGGACTAAATAAAAAAAGGTATAACATTTTAAAAAAATATGGAATTTTATTTTGGTGGATCCCTAAATAATAGAAGTTGTATTTTGGTTTGGAGTAGTTTTGGGGGGAGGGGGCCTGGGGGCCTGGAGTAATCAGGTCCGAAACTCATTCCATTGAGTTTCTAACCCTTGTGTGCCTAGCGGGAATCAAACTTGAGACCTCCCACTAGGCACAGTAACCTCACAACAAGCTGAGCTGGAATGCTTGGTTTGGAATAGTACTCGTGTATGAATTACCGAGTAATATTTGTGCAAAACTATATATTCCTATAATTTGGATAGTAACGTTAAAATAAATAATTGTGAAATTGACATGTGGCGGAACTTTCCCTAATTGTAACCTTCAAATGTATTATCTATAGATTCTTGGGCCGATTGCTAACTTAGGGATGTAATATGTAAAATCAAAATGACTTTCTGCTAAAATAAAAAAACTTGCAATTTACATTCTAAGCAAATTTTGTTGCACATCATAGGTAAGTATGCATCGATAATCTACAACTAAACGCTAAACCGATGCGTTTGGTGAGAAATTTATAATTAGAAAACTAAAAAAATAATTTCAAAATACTCGTTTCTTTATGTAGATAAATATTTAAAATTAACTTCATTTTTTTAATAAAAAAGATGTAAATCCCTCCTTTAGTAACTCCAAATCCTCCAATACTGAATTGCAATGGGGATTGTTTATCACACATCCGATTTGATATTATTACTAATCTCACCTGTGCGATGCATGGGAAAACATTTTGTTCTAATATTATGATAAAAGAGCAATATAAGAATTATAAGGAAAAAATTAACACAACAATCTCAACATCATAAAATCATCATACAGAAGTGGTAGTAATGACAAAGTGTACACGATTGATTGGAACTAAACAAAATTTCAATTTATAATGTATTTAACATGGAGAAATATCACATTACAAATTTAAGCTACTTTTTGGCCATGCTTGAAATATCACATTACAAATAATGTATTTAACATGGGATTGAATACATCATTCTGTAGACATTCTTCTAAGCGACGGTCAACCACAAGTTGAGGCAGCAAACGAAGCTGATTAGAATGAGAAGGTGACAATGATATTTATGCTTATGTATACAAACACTAGAATTTTACGAAATATATAAATATGAAAATTATTACTCCGTATAATATATATTTTCATATACAAATATGCGTGTGTGTGTCTATATATATATATATATATATATATATATATATATATATATATATATATATATATATATATATATATTATATATATATATATATGGTGCAGTTCCAATGAGAACGTTGTTTAACGTGAGAACGTGAGAACACTCACATTTAACCGAATGTTATACACAACAGATCCCGTATGGTGCACAATTAACTTTGCTCAAACCAAGCTTACATAAATAGTTGCGGTAGCATTTTGGTAAATTTTATGCTCAATATGAAAATGTGCAATGGACGACCCTCATTGTGCATCACATCGGGATAAATGTGGTGTTCTCACGCTCTCAGGTTAAACCTTCTTCTCATTTGATCTTTAATCAGATAATATTTTAACATTAGTGACAACTTTAATCAGATAAAAATGTTTCAATAATAAAAGTGACATTTTTGTAATAATTATTTTGAACAGATAGGACCTTGACAAAAATAACAAAAGTGACATTTTTACAAAATTACATATAAAAATTTGTAAATAATGTTTACAATATAAATTATGTCCCATGCACATATATACTATGTATAATAAATACACCGTACATATTGCTGCTAATACATGTGGACTAGGTGCAATGTACGCACATAGCCCACATGCATTAAAAAATAATGCGTGCATGCATGGGCGGATGGTAGTTAGGGTAGGAGTAAGCTTCAGCCCAGCCCAAAATAATTTTTTTAGTTAGTACAGGTATATGTTAAATTCTCAGCCCATCCCAAAATTATTTCCCAGCCCAGCCCACTGCTCAACTTCTCGACCTTCTGAGTTTTGACTTGCGCTAAAGCCTTAAGCGATTGGAGCTTCGCGTAAGAGCAATAGTGTCTAGCGACGAAGAAGAAAGAACGATGAGGGAGCACTGGAGCGAACTGCAGACGGAGCTTGAATCTGCGACGAAGAAGTGACTAGTGAACGACTCCAGTCTCTAGCCGCGCCGCCGACGTTGTCCACCAATTCCGGCATTCCGCCTCTACGCGGCGACTGTGCGTCTGCGCGTCTGCCTGACTGCCTCCCTCCAGGCTCCAAGAGTCCAGGTAAACTCAAAATTCAATTTATTTTTTATATTTTTAATTTATTGTTTTAATTGATTTGGTGTTAGATTGTAATTTCATGAATGTGTCAATGTATTATACGGTTATAACGTATTATTTGTGTATAATATTAATATGTTATTATTTTTAGCATTTTAAAGTTTTAGGGTTAGGGAACCATTTTGATTATTAATTGAATTTTTCAGTACATAAATAAATAATGTTTAATTCATTATAATAAATATATATGATTAAAGATAGAATTGAATAGTAGAAAATGATTTAGTTATTAAAGCTTAGTAGTTTTATGTAGATTAATTCGTCTTGTTTTGACCCTACCTGTTTCTACCGCTACTACGGAAAGAGCATTTTCAGCAATGAAGCATGTGAAGACGGCACTCCGTAACAAAATGGGAGATGATTTTCTTGAAGTTTCATTGATGATCTACATTGAACGAGATTTTGCCAATAAATAGATGTAGATTCTATTATTGATGAATTTTATATTTTGAAGTCGCGTAGGACACAACTTAAATGATGTTTTGATGAATATTTAAATGGTTGACAACTTGACTTATTATTAGGAATATTAGGTATGTGTATTTCAATTTTTTCCCCAGCCCACCCCATTGTAACTTTCTGGATCCGCCCCTGCGCGCATGGTATTCCTTTCAAAGTACTACTCCTCAATAAAAAATACATAGTAGGATAGTACTCATATTACTTCCTCAGTTCTTAAATAAATGCAACGGTCAACATTTCACACTTGCCGAGACACAACTTTGACCATTAATATAAAGAGAAATTTATCACGCGTATCACTAAAACATCACATAGTTCCCATGTTATGATTACTTGAGTATTCTTCCTAATACATGACTCCACATGCTCATCTTCCATGCACGTGTGGTTTAATTTTTTTTAATACCAATTGTATCCTTTCCTTTAATTAATGCTTTGATTTTTCATCCTAAAATAATTAATCAACAAGCATATCACGTATTGGAATGGGAGCATAACCTGCGGCGGTATGATAACTACCTTTGCGCATAACTGCTCGATTAGAAATGGAAATATCCGATACATAATGAAATTATTTATTGAACGTAAATGTAGGTTCATCTTCTACCAACTGTGTGGTTATCACATGACTTTTTTATTCATATCCAAATCTCCTGATTTCTTCTTCTATGAACTGTTCGTTCATCTGCTAAGGCTCATATGTATCATTTCACCGCCAATCTTGGAGTGAAGCAGTATCCATGCATTCCGTTCTAGTAGGTTACCTGGAAATGTGGATTATGATAAAATATGATGGCCAGTGAGTTTCAAATACTTTTTCTCTAGTATTCATGTTGCCGTCTTAACTATACCATCAAATTGTACGTATGATTCTCTATATTCTCGTGTTTGCGCTGCTATGGGTGAGAATTATGCCGGGAAGAATATAAAGATTTCATACGTTTATGTTGCGTGCCCACCTGCCTGCCGGTGCTGCCATTCAGTCGGAAGGCCGCCCACCTACCCGCCGCCGAAGTCTAGCCGCACGCTTGCCTGCCGCCGGCCAGCCGCATGTTTGCCCGCTGCCCGCTTCCATCCTCCCGATGCCCACCTCCAGCGCCCAACCGCCCAACCGCCCAACACACATTCTCCTTCTTCTTCTTTTTCTATCTATTTCTTGAAATTAGGGTTTACGGGCATTGAACAAGGGTAGTGAAAATGAGTAGTGAACATGGCAAAAGATAGTGTTGAACATGGATAGTAAATATGACAATAGATAGTGTTGTACATGGGCAATGAATGAATGAATTGAGGAAGAGTGTTGTACACTGAATTGAAGGCAATAATAGTGTCACAACATTGGCGAGAAGTGCAGTAATTATGACCAATAGTGCAATAACGTAGAGCAATAATGCCAACATGAAATGCAAAGTTATCAAATATAAAAAGAAATAAAAGAAGAATTATAAATAAATTCTTAACGTGGACATTAAGAGAATTAATGTTGGCGGGAAGTGTAGTGATTATGAACGGAAGTGCAGTAATATCGCGCAATAACACCTGTATAAAGTGCAATATAGTAAAGACATTATTAAATAATCACTTCCCTCAATGCATGATATGGATAACAAAAAAATATGGTTGGAGAAGATGAAAATGGTTAAAATCAGGTTAGAGACTTGACTTATCAAATGAAACATGTTTGTAGTAAAAATAGTATTCCATATATAGTTACGTATTTTAGTGGAACATGCTTTTAATCAATTTTTCATATTTCATAGTTTTTTGGTAATTTAGGTCTAATTTGTTTGAAATCCTTCCTTAATTGAATTTCTTAGAAAACGTGTTCTGACTTTCTATCCAACTGCTTAAATTAAGGAAACTTCAAATGGATAGTTTTCTAGGCCAAAGCGGACTGCTAAAGTGCTAATGCCTTTATATTTTAAGGCCATATTGGTCTTTTAATGGTCAAATATTTTACATGGTCGTTCTTTAAATGACATGCTTAGTCATACATGGGGAAATAAACATTAGAGGTCATATTTTGGGAAATCTCTTGACATATTGTCATACATACGTATTTTTCCCTAATATAAATGATTTTTTTTTAACAATATTCACATTACAATGAGACAA